GATGTGAGAGAGAAACATCGCCTCGACCATAGACCAAACCTGCAACCCAGGTATGTGCCCTGACCAGGAATTAAATGGGCAACCTTTACTTTGCAGAATGACCCCAACTAACTGAGCAACATTGCTCAGGGTCAAAAATGCATTATTTTTTTTAAAGATTTTATTTATTTATTTTTAGAGAGAGAAAAAGCGAGAGAGAGAGAGAGAGAGAGAGACGGAGAGAAACATCCGTGTGCGGTTGCCTTTTACAAGCTCCCCACTGGGGACCTGGCCCGCCACCCAGGCCTGTGCCCTGACTGGGAACCGAACCCGCGACCCTTGGGTTCTCAGGCCAGCACTCCATTCACTGATCCACACCAGCCAGGGCTCTTTACTGTGTTCTATTTTGGAGACCAGCACACGGGGTTTTCTCCCTGACGAGGCAAAAATGATAAACCTCTGGGCGTCCACAGCCTTGTCCCCACCCCCCAAAGCCAACCCTAGGGCCGCCATTTTGGCTACCCCTGTGCGCACGCGGGGCGCCGCCCAAGGTTCCATTCAGTTGCCAGGCTGCCAGGTTCTGGGGACATTATGATGTAGCAGCCAGAGAACTTGGAAAGAAATAATAAGCCGGGAGGGCAGCCAGCAGGAAAGGAGACGAGCGGTCATAGCCGAGGGACGCACAGCCGAGGGGGCTGGAGGAGCTCGCGCGGCCGAGAAGGGAGGCGGACGGTAAGTGGCCAGTACAAGGGGCGGGGGTCGAAGGTTTCTGGAGGAGAACGTGGCTGCCCGAGGGGAGGGGCAGGGGAGCCGGGCGACAGGAGGGCAAGGGACCGGCTCAGGGCCACACAGCCAGGGCCGCGGACCGCACGGGGGTGGGGGGTGGGGGGTGGCGGGTGGCGGGCGGAGGAGCCCAGAGCGCGCCATGGGGACCGAAGGAGACATGCCTGGGGCCAGGGCCCTCGACGCAGGCTGCAGAGGACGTTGGTCGCGTCGGACACCTCGTACGCCGGCAGCCTGTCCGCTTTGGGGAACCAGTGTCACCCCGTAAGTTGCATTTGAAAACAGCCAGTAGGTGGTTCTCGATGTATCCTTCTTCCAGTACTTAAGCTTAGTCTGACGTTAGCTGCCGTTGCTTGACTTAGGATTCTTCGATAGGGGTGTTATTCTGAGACTAGGTTTTGGGGTCAACCCTCCACCATCTTCTGTTAATACTCCTCAAGTGCAGAAAACTACCTGGTCTTATTAGCCACTAAAATGCTTGAGTAACAAAATCATTTTAAAAGTAAACCGAACAAGTTTGGGTAGGCAAGAGGATTGAAGGTCCGTCAAAGGAAAGAGTGTACCTTGGAGAGTCTGTCTGAAAGAAAAGATGAGACATTCAATTCTTGTAGAGAAGTTTAGACTGAGCTGATGAGTTCTTAATGCAATCTGGTGTAAAAGTTTTATACTTTTGGTTAAAAAAAAAAAAAATCCTTCCCAAAGCATGTGAGCTTGAAGGGCACATGTTTTTTCTTCAACTAGAATGTAAGCTTCCCTCAATTTGAACGCTAGTTGAATCTCATTTCAAAAGATTCAGAACAGCCCGATTTCTTTTGAGTTGCATCTGTGTATATTATCAGCTTTGATCGGCCTTTCATGTAAAACCGGAATCAGCAGAGAGAATATTTGAGAACACCTACCCTGGTATTTGGTTATAGTGTCTGTTTTATACCACTTTTTACAAAATTAGCTTTTATAAATATATAACTGTAATACTGTACTTCTTCAAACGCCCAGTTACCACTTCCAAATGTATCATACTAAGAATTTTAAACCTTATCTTTTTATAAGGTATCAGACATGTTCACATTTATTTTGTTGAAATAGAACAATCTTGCTTTTTCTGTCTACTGAACAGTGAACTCCTGCTTTAAGTGTATATGTTGTATGTATTTTAATTTTTAAAAGATTTTCTTTATTTATTTTTCGAGAGAGGGAAGGGAGGGAGAAAGGGAGGGAGAGAAACATCCACGTGTGTTTGACTCTTGCGTGCCCCCTCCTGGGGACCTGGCCCACAACCCAGGTCTGTGCCCCGACTGGGAACTGAACTGGCGACCCTTTGGATCACAGGCCGGCGCTCACTCCACTGAGCCATGTCAGGCAAGGCATTCCTATGCAGACATACATATATGTGTATGTATATATACATATCCAAATATCTGTATACATATACCAACATATGTAACCATAACAATAAATACTGGATTACTCTACTGCTTAAATAAGCCTATGTATTTGGCAGAGTTATTAAGACAAGTCAAAGCCAGAAAGAAGGCTTAGGACTCCTCGATATTTCCAAAAATAAATCCAGGCATTTGAAAAGAAATCTGAGGCCATTGACTAAAATACCGCACGCGGCCTTGTGCGATCTCAAAGGGGACGCGTTTTTTGACATGAAGTAGACTGGCTGTAAGGACACATATTCTGATCTGACTTCCTTTCCGAGGACAGCAATCCTTCCAGTACCCCTTAGATTCTGCTGACAAGCACCTTGCTGTATTCTGAAGCATTACTGCCCGGGGCAGACATGCGTGTACACACCAGGCGCATCCTGTGTGAAATGCCCGTGCAGAACGTGGAGTGGGGCAGCGAGCTGGTCGTCGGTGAGGGATGCGGAAGTGGTGCCAAAGGCCAAGTGGTGCCCACCCTTTACTTGGAGACAAGAGGCACAGGGGCCGACTAGCCTTCATCTCTTTTTCAAAAATAACCGTGTACGATTTCAGGGGCCATCTGAGAAGACTTAGATGGCCATCAAGAGCTCAAGTCCCCACCAGACTGTTCATTCTCAGACTTATTAGGAGCCACCGAACTTCGTGAGTTCCATTTGGTTTTTATGGGCTTATAAAATGTCGACTCTGTTTAATGTCTTAAAAAAAATAATGTGCTTAAAAGTTGAGGAAGACAAAGCACAATGCCATGACATTAGGCGGCCAGCAGTAGGAAGAGGAACATACCAAATAATATCTCATTGTACTCACTGCCTTTAGAAAAATAAACAAGTAGACAGAAAGAGAGAGAGAAGGAAGCAAAGGAAGGAAGAGGGAAGGAAAAATAGAAGGATGGAAAGAATGAGGGAGGGAAGGAAGGAAGGAAGGAGGAAGGAAGGAAGGAGGAAGGAAGGAAGGAGGAAGGAAGGAAGGAGGAAGGAAAGAAGGAAGGAAGGAAGGAAGGAGGAAGGAAGGAGGAAGGAAGGAGGAAGGAAGGAGGAAGGAAGGAAGGAAGGAAGGCCCTGTGTATGTCCTTCTTGGAGAAGTGTCTGTTCGGGTCCTTTGCCCATTTTTTAATTGGATTGTTTGTGTTCCTGGAGTGGAGTTGTGTGGGTTCTTTATGTATCTTTATGTATTTTGGAGCTCAAACCCTTGTCCAAGGTATTATTGGCAAATATTTGCCAATATTTTGTTGAGGATTTTAGTGTCTAAGTTCATGAGCAATATTGACCTGTAGTTTTCTTTCTTTCTTGTGTCTTTATCTGGTTTTGAGATTAGGATGATGCTGGCCTCATAAAAAGAGTTTGGGAGTCTTCCCTCTTCTTGGATTTTTTGGAATAGTTTGAGAAGGACAGGGGTTAGCTCTTCCTTAAATGTATTGTAAAATTATCATGTAAAACTGTGCCGGGAGTTTTGTGTTTACTGCTTCAATTTCACTAACTGTTATCAGTCTGTTCAGACTTTCTGCTTCTTTTTGATTCAGTTTTGGAAGATTATATGTTTCCAGAAATTTGTCCATTTCACCCAAGTTTTCAAATTTCTTGGTATGTAGTTGTTCATAGTAATTTCTGACAATCCTTTGTATTTCTGTGGTATCGGTTGTAATTTCTCCTCTTTCATTTCTGATATTATTTATTTAGGTCTTCTCCCTTTTTTTCTTGATTGGTCTGCATAAAGGCTTGTCGATTTTGTCTGTCTTTTCAAAGAACCAGCTCCTGGACTTATTGATCTTTTGAGTTGTTCTTTTAGTCTCTGTCATTCAATTCTGCTTTGATCTTGATTATTTCCTTCCTTATACTCACTCTGGGCTTTGTGTGTTGTTGTTTCTCCAGTTTTTGTAGATGTAGTGTTAGGTTGTTTATTTGAAATGTTTCTGTCTTTTTCAGGGAGGCCTGTATGGCTATGAACTTCCCTCTCAGGACCGCCTTCGCTGTGTCCCATAGGTTTTGGACTGTTGTGTGATCATTTTCATTTGTTTCCAGAAACTTTTTCATTTCTTTCTTGATCTCATCATTAAGCCATTCATTGTTTAATAACATGTCATTCAGTCTCCATGAATTTGACTGTTTCTGAATTTTTTCCTTGAGGTTACTTTCTAGTTTCGAACCACTGTGATCTGAGAAAATGCTTGTTATGATTTCAATTTTCCTGATTTTGTTGAGGCTTGTTTTGTGGTCTACTTTTGAAAATTTTCCATGTGCACTTGAAATGAATGTGTATTTTGCTTCTTTGGGGTGAAAGGTTCTATATATGTCAGTTAAGTCCATTGGATCTAACGCATCGTTCAGTGCCACACTATCCTTCTTGATATTTTGTTTGGAAGATCTGTCCATTGTTGACAGTGGGGTGTTGAAATTGCCTCCTATCAGTGTATTGCTGTCTATATCTTTCTCGAAGTTCTCCTAGATTTTCCTTATATATTTGGGTGCTCCTGTGTTGGGTGCATATGTTTACAATGTTTATGTCTCCTTGATGGAGTCTACCCTTGGGTATTATGAAGTGTCCTTCTGTTATATATATGTATATACATACATGCATACATGTCTGTGTGTATATATACACATAATATATACATGTATATATGTATATATATACATGTATATATTATGTGTATATATACATGTATAATATATTATATATAGTTAAGGTATGAAAAACTCAGGAATAGTACACCCACATGCTTTTTGCCAAAACTAAAGATCCAAGTTTTTATGAATGAAAGCATTCTTCAATTTAGTAGATCTTTGCCTTTTTTCACAAACAGAACCCAGGATGACTTCTCCTACTAAGGAAGAAAGTGATCCAGCTGATAACACTCTCAAAAACTCAGACGATGAGGCTCCAAATGACCGTAGTACAGACAGAGAGCCTTCCCTTGCTGAACGTGGTGTGATCGCTGAGGTCGATAGCGCCGCGGTGGACAGGGAGCTCAACATACCAGCTGGCCAAGAGCACGCTGTTCTTCAACCCCCAGAAAATGATGACCTTGCATTAGAGAAGAATCAACAAGATCCTCAAGAAGATGTAAAAGAAGAAGACTCTCATCTAATTGAGATTCCCGTCCCTAGTAAAAGGATCTCATGCACATCAGGATTAGGGAGAGTTCCCCCTGTGAATATCCCACCAGTTAATGTTGCCGAAACCAGTCCCTTAACTCCCTTACCTGATAGAGCAAGATGCAACTCTGGAAACACACTGAAGGGATCTATAGGCATCTATTACGTCAACATAAGTTACAAAATCCCTTTCCACTTCTCAGTTTCATGGAGTTTGCCATTTACTAACATTTGTGACAAGCGAAAGATGTTTCTTCGCCTGGTGTGTGAGGGATATTTCTCTCACGTTGTAGGTCATCGTAATACCACGTGGGTAAAGCCAAAATACAGAGCTTTTATCACAGGCTCAAACATTCCCATCCGCGCTGAGAGAGCCATAGTATTTCGAAGACCCCTGAGGGTGCAGTTCTTCCACTCCCTCAGTGAGAGAATGGCATCCAGAAAAATGTCCAAATCAGTGAATGCTAAAGAGGAGAAGTCTCCGCAGACCCCACCGGAAAGCCCAGTTAATAAAAAAGGGTGTGAGGACCTTTTGAGGGTGATGATCACACTCACTGACGCAGGGTGGAAGTACCTGTGTCCCTTTTGTGGGAGCACTTTCAACAGCTTGATCGAATTGAGATTGCACGCTTGCAACTTCCTGGATGATTAAGTTCAGTTGGGGTAAATTTCTTTCAAAATTTAACTTCTAAAATTCAAAATCTGGCTACCTAATTGATCCAAAATTGCACTAGCATAAGTTTTAGTAGGGTTAGATGGAGTTGCAGATAGAAACACAAAACAATAGGATATATTAAAAAGACACATATGGAGAAAGAAACAGCTAAGGAAACCAGTATAAAGCATCAGTGCACCAACCCCTTGATCTCTATTTAGTCAGCAAGTGAACTAAGAAAATGTTTGTATTTTATTAATATCCATTTCTGCTGATACAAACATTGTTCATAACATCACATGCCAAGTTTACAGGATCTGGCGACAGCAAACATACTAAGGGTTAGACGAAGCCCTGCCAGGTGTTTCTAGGTGCTTTGTTCAATTTAATATCTCAAATGTTCTCCATAACGTCAATAAAACCATTTTAAAGACATTCTAAGTTTCATTGTGTGATTACAACTAGGTAACAAATATTGTGTGTAGAGAAAAAGGTCCAAGTATTATAAGCATGCTATGTTTAGAGGGCAATTTTGATTATTTACAATAAAAATTAAATTTATAAAATAAAATAATGTGATAGAAATAAAATAACTTGAGATAAAAGTGAATATTAAACTGGCAGCAGACAACTAATATTTTCTTTTTTAAAAAATGATTTTATTACTTTATTTTTAGAGAATGAGAGGGAGAGAGAAGTACGCCCCCCACTGGGGACCTGGCCCACAACCCAGGCATGTGCCCTGACTGGGAATCGAACCAGCGACCCTTTGGTTCTCAGGCCTGCACTCAATCCACTGAGCCACACTAGCCAGGGCTAATATTTTATTTTCTTGAATAGCTTCTTCACTGTTGCCTACCATTACCACGAACATTTTACTTTCTCCCTTACACCTATGCACAGATACACATATTTAAGAAGTTCCTATCCTGCTGCTTCCAGCTCAAACTGTTGTACCTTTTCTTTCATTTGATCTCCATAGTCATAAAGATTAAAGACAGAGTTCATAACTTCATCTCGAAGTCAACTTACATTAATTGGTCATTCGTTATGTGTGAAGTATTATGCTCGAGTCATTGTGTGTGTTAAACTTCACGATTATCTTACATGTATGCATTTTTATGGTAAAATTAAGTGCATAGAAACAGTTTTCAAAAAATAATAAATCACTTTCCTAGCTCAAAATTTAGCAAGTGTGTGCAGTTGTTATCATATAATAAGATAATGTAACTGGAACTTACTTTAATAGGAGATTTGTTACATATTATGCGTTATTTAATAAGTATGTAGATGTACAATATTTAATCCCTAGGTATACTGTATGAAATAAATTCTAAACTCTCATGAAATATAGGATACTTTGGCTGTATCTAACAAAGATCAATTTTTTTTTCATCTGAACGCAAATTGGCTGCTCCCAGATACAATTATTCAGTATTAAGAATGAATCAGAGTAAATAGTTAAACTGGTTGACACAATTTGAGCAACCAAATAAAATGTTTCTCCCTTTTTAAAAATGCATGCTATTTGAATTTGTAATCTCATCAAAGCATGAGCTATGAAACACATCTTTACAAAAATATCAGTCATGAGGTAGCTATCAATGAAAGCAAAATGAAAATATTTTGTTCTTCGTTTTTCCTGAAGCTAAAATAAAATTAATTAAATTTAAAAAGTTGGTTTCATTGCTGTCACGTTACCATTCATGGAATCCACATTTTAACTGCAAATCTCTGAAAATTCACAAAGCCAACACCACACAAGTGTATTAATTTTTTCTCTAAGATAGAGGAACAAGCATATATATTATGTCTTTCATGTTTATATTAGTAATTTGCAGAATTCTTTCACAAAACATTATACTTTAAAATATGGGTACAGGAGAGCACCTGTATTTCACATATACTCAGTAGCTAGCATTTATAATAATAGATTCCGTTATTATGAAAACATCACCAAGACCAGCAAATTATCTACGCAACAAAGAATATAATACATTTTTAGAATAAATTAGCCTAAAGACCCCTGAAGATGGCAGCCTTTTACCATTTTAATGTTCTCAACTTCTGACCAGTTAGAATTTAAGACTCTGTTCTTAGATTGTTTAAATTATATTTTATTGATTATGCTCTTACATTCGTCCTGATTTCCCCCCGTCTGCCCCCTCCACCCAGCAACAGGCAACTCCCGACCTACATGTTCTTTGGCTGCTCCGTTTCCTGGACTACAGTTTACATCCTCATGGCTATTCTGTAACTACCTATTTATACTTAATAATCTCCTCGCCTCTCCACCCATTCCCCCATTATTTATTTCAAAAATATATCTGATAACAAAGTTTGTATTTGCTTCGTGTTATTTATCTGTTATTAGTATGTTGGATATCTCTTTGTAAGTTATGTTTTAGACCTATTTCATCAGAAAAATTTCAAGTCTTTAAAAGATTCAAACTATCAACTATTATCAAACTATTCAAACTATGGTACTAACTTTATTCTAATTTAGGCAAGAAACTTTAAATGAAAAGCATGAAAAATATTAAGGGGAATCTTCTAAAATTAAAACACTGAGTTATCAAATAAGGTTGGACTCCATTCATACTTTCAGTGGGCATACTTAGTGTCTAATACCATTTGCTTGACATAGAAACTTTCTGATCTCGCTCAGTCAACAGAAATAAAGGGGTTAATATTCTAATTATATGGGCGGAGGGAAGGGAAAGGAGACATTAGCTTAACTCTGGTTTAAACTTGTAAATATCAAACTTTCCTAAGACAAAATACAGATGATGTTAGTTACCGGATCTTTGTAGAGGAAATGTGCCCTGTTTCTATGTCTCATGAAGAGGCCCTGACAGATTTTGTTCACAAGTTTTCACAGATGTTTGTGTAGCAAAAAGACCTTGGACACTAGAGACAGTATCTTCTCTCCAAAGCACAGGGTCTCTTACATGCCGTTCCTCACTAGAGAAATAAACACCGTGTCTCGCTCAAAGACAAGGTTTGGGCAAGTCTGCAAGCGGCAGTCTCCTGGGATTGGAGGCTTCCTCAGCTCAAAGATCCTTGGTGATGACCCAGACCTACGGCGTGTGTAACATCTATCTGTGCCAATTCCATCCACCCTGTGTGACTTGGAGATGAGGATGCAAATACACAGCTCACGCTGCCTGCTTTGTCATGAGTAATGAAGTGCTTCATCTGTGACCCAGGAGTCTCATGCCTTTTGTCAGCATCTATAAAACTGTGGCAGGTTAACTTCATAGCTTTAAAGCAGAGTAATAGCTCAAACTCTTCACCGTTCTTTTTTTAAACAAGATTTTATTTATTTATTTTTAGAGAGAAGAGGAAGGGAGGGAGAAAGAGAGGGAGAGAAACATCCCTGTGTGGCTGCCTCTCGCGCGCCCCCTGCTGGGGACCTGGCCCGCAGCCCAGGCCTGTGCCCTGACTGGGAGTTGAACCGCGACTCTTTGGCTTGCGGGCCGGCGCTCAATCCACTGAGCCACAGCAGCCAGAGCTCCTTACAGTTCCCATTTGAAAGAAAGCTGAGGGAATACAATCCTTGTTAACAAAGTTTTGTTATTTTTAATAAGGGGCACCTTCTATTACTTCAATAGACTCACAACACAGCATCCCTGAGAGTTTAATATAGTTAGCTGGGATAAAGTATTTGTATCAATATGTGAATGAACACAGCTTAATGAAAGAAGTAGTGAGATAATTGAAAAGTTTATGATTCTTATCTTTACCAAACACTTTTATTTATTTGTTACTACTTCTCAGTCTGTGCTTATAGAGTACAAATGACTTAACCTTCAAATGTTCAATAAATTAAATATTACAAAATTTAACTTGTGAGAAAATCTGCATATTCTTCTGACTCTACACACCCTTTCTTGGTAATATTGAGAGGTACCTGGCAGTCAAAATAAGGACAACAACAAAAGATCCAAGTACACTCACCTCCTCCCAGGACCAACCCATAATTCCAACAAAATTATAGAATAATCAACCCAAATAACCATGTAAAACGAGCTGAGCACAAGTCTTATAACCAAGAATTTACAGAAGAACCCACATCAAGATCAGTAGGAAGGGCAGACACTGAAAAAGACTAGTCTCGCAACCACATGTAGCATTTGAGAATCTACAAGGAAATCTCAGCTGCAAAGATTCCAACAAAACCCCATGTAGGGGTCCCCAGTGCAGAGCTCCAGCGCTTGGAAGAGTACAACCCCCGGCTGTGAAAATCAGCAGGAATTCTGTCTGTCAGGGAGAGGCAGGACTCTACCAGAAACCCATGTGCCCTCTTAAAGGGCTACTGCACAAAATCTCATTTGCAGCCACTCAGCCTGGGCTCTTGGAGAAGGAAGTTGCCTCAGAGTGCACTGGAGTCATACGGGGAGAAATTGGGTTTTGTGGCTTCAAGGAGAGAGCTAGAAGGACAAGCACCATTGTCCCTGTGCTGAGTCCCTCTCTCATACTGCCCGCAGGTGCCACCTCTCTTGGGTAAAGCATGTCCCTCCATACAACATCAGACTGGGGATATGCCCTAGCTCCAACCTCTCGATTCCCTATGGCTAGAGCTGCACCCCGTGGAGGAGTCTGCTGGCTGCTGCCAGCCTGAGCCCACAGTGTAAACTCTCTTGAAAGGTTCTCGAAAAGGTCCATTTTTCCCTGGCTGGTGTGGCTCAGTGGATTGAGTGTCAGCCTGCAAACCAAAAGGTCTCTGGTTCGATTCCCAGTCAGGGCACATGCCTGGGTTGCAGGCCAGGTCCCCAGCAGGGAGCGTGCAAGAGGCAACCACACATGCATGTTTCCCCTCTCTCTCTTTCTCCCTCCTCTACAAAATAAATAAATAAAATCTTTTTTAATAAAAAAGTCCATTTTTCCTGGAAACCCTGGCCAGCAGCGCCATCCCTGTGCAGAGCCCTTCCTCCACATGGCCAAGTCTTAACCTGTTTTGGCCTGATGAAGTCCACTGGCTTCATCCTGATGAC